CTTGAACCCAGGAGGCGGAGGTTGCAGTGAACCTAGATTGCACCATTGCACTCCAGCCTGGGCAACAAGAGCAAAACTCCATCTCAAAAAAAAAAAAAATTAAAAATAAATAATAAATAAAATGAGATATCATTTTTCACTTAGATGGAAAGGATTAAAAAGATTTCTAGTAGCCAGTTCTTGGCAAGGGCAGGGCAGAAACAGGTGCACTTCCATTCTATTGATGGAAGCCTAAACTGGCTTCAGCAGGCAAACCTGGAAGATAGTATCAAAAGCTGAAATGCGCAGGCATGTTGTCATCTTCTAGGAATTTAAGGAAAGAATGGTGCACGGTGCAAAGTTGTGTGAACAAGAAGGGCCATTGTACTGAAAAGTTAGAAACAGCCTGAATGTCCATCAATAGGGTTTTGGTTAAATAAATTTATGAGACTTGGAGGTATAATGGAGACCAGGCAGGTGTTATAAAAGATAAAGAACGTCTTTACATATTGACACAAAGCACATAAATGTTCACATGCGAAAACAGCTGACACAATTCCACATATCAAGTGATCCTCTTTTGTTTAATATATAACTACTGGTAAGGCTGACACTTAACAGTTGTTATCGCTGTAGGTTAGAATTTGAGGGATATTTTTTTTTTCTTTTTTTTTTGAGACAAAGTTTCACTCTTGTTGCCCAGGCTGGAGTGCAACGGTGGGATCCCGGCTCACCGCAACCTCCGCCTCCCAGGTTCAAAAGGTTCTCCTGCCTCAGCTTCCCAAGTAGCTGGGATTACAGGCACGTTCCACCATGCCCAGTTAATTTTGTATTTTTAGTAGAGACAGAGTTTCTACTAAAAATGTTGGTCAGGCTAGTCTCAAACTCCTGACCTCAGATGATCCACCTGCCTTGGCCTCCCAAAGTGCTGGGATAACAGGTGTGAGCCACCACACCCGGCCGGAAATTTTCTATATTATTGAAACTTCTCACAAACACCATGTGTTATTTGTATGATAACAAGAGTGAATAAAGATTTCATTCTGAAAATCTAAGGAAGAGATATGCTATTTATGCTGCCCTTTAAGGACTTATTTATCCTTTATTTTGTTCAACAAGTATGAACAGTTTATTACATAGAAGGTAGTGCCTCCAGGACTGAGGTAGAAACAAAAGACAATCGGACCTAAGCCTCTCTCTGCTTCCTGAAACCAAACCGATATTATCACTGCCCCCACCTGACACGCAGACACACAGACACACAGACACACACACACACACACACACACACACGTGCCTTCCTCCTGCCACAAATAAGTTGGTGTCCCTTGGCCACTCCACACCCAATCTCACCACCTGCATCCTAGAGTCCATCTCCTCATCATTTTCTCAGAAGCCTCACACTATTCATTATCATTCTTTCTTCCTTTCTTTCTTTCCAACTTTTCCCTCTCTATTGCATTCACCTAGTCAGCAATGAAAACTTCTCAAGTCTCTTTCATTCTAAATAAAAGGAAGGGAGGGAAGGAAGGACATTCTGGACAGAATTATTGGGGAGAGAAGGGAGGAGGAAGGGGAGAGGAAAGAGGTATCCAAGCATATTCTCCAAATTTGTGGCTTTTAAACCTTTTTTTTTTTTTTTTGAGACGGAGTCTCATTCTGTCGCCCAGACTGGAGTGCAGTGGCACAATCTCGGCTCACTGCAAGCTCCACCTCCTGGGCTCACGCCATTCTCCTGCCTCAGCCTCCTGAGTAGCTGGGACTACAGGCGCCCACCACCATGCCCAGCTAATCTTTTGTATTTTTAGTAGAGACAGGGTTTCACTGTGTTAGCCAGGATGGTCTCCATCTCCTGACCTCGTGATCTGCCCGTCTCGGCCTCCCAAAGGGCTGGGATTACAGGCGTGAGCCACTGCGCCCAGCTAAACCTTCTTAAAGAAATATGTTAGTCTAACTATTATAAGAATATAACACCTAGTGTGGTGGCTCACGCTTGTGATCCCAGCACTTTGGGAGGCCCAGGGGGGTGGATCACCTAAGGTCGGGAGTTCAAGACCAGCCTGGCCAACAGAGTGAAGCCCCGTCTCTACTAAAAATACAAAAATTAGCTGGGCATTGTGGCGCACACCTGTAGTCCCAGCTACTCGGGAGGTTGAAGAAGGAGGATCACTTGAACCTGGGAGGTGGAGGTTGCAGTGAGCCAAGATTGTGCTACTGCACTCCAGCCTGGGCAACAGAGTGAGACTCCATCCCAAAAAAAAAAAAAAAGAGAGAACATAACAGAGACAGTAATATAAAAGGAAGATAATATAAAAGCAAGAATTTGAGCTAGGCAGAGAAGGTGCTCTCTCTCTCTCTCTCTGACCCAGAGGGTGGACCCAGTCCAGAACACCGCAGCCCCTGCCTCAGGATGCAGTCTATTGGAGTCAGGACCTGGATGATCTCAATTGTGGATGGCTCATTTCTCTCCAGCTATCACTCAGTCCCTCCTCCCCTTCAGCCAGACTCCTAGAAAGAGTTGTCTACTTGCCTTCCATGTCCTTACCTCCTCCACTTCTCCACCCACTAAGTTGGCAGCTGAGCCCCACTTAGTGGGGAACTCTACCAAAACCAGTTCCCCCCAGGCACACCTCTCAATCTTGTCTCCACTTCCCAGCAGCATTTGGCACCAGTTTTGTGTCTGTCCTCTCTTTGCATTCTTTGCCAATGTTTCTTCTCCAGCCTCACTTCTCAGTCCTGGTGCTCAGTCTCAGTGGACTCAGTGCTCAGTCCCAAGACCTTTGCTCTCTTCCCTGAACCCTCTTTCCTAGGCCATCTCATCCAAGCCAGCATGTTCATCACCATTACGCACCAATGGTGCACAAACACATGCATTCTGAAAATGCACGGTCAGTCAACACCTCACAACTGGCATCCAGGAGATGTCGGCTTCATCTATATCTCTGCTTGGGTATCTTACAGATTTCATTCATTCATTCTATAACGTACCTACTATGTGTCAGGAACTACACCAGGCACTGGATATAGAATGATAAACAAAACAGGCATGGTTCATGCCCCTGAGCAGCTTAACTCAAATGACAACAACTGAACTCAAGAGCTTTCCTCAACCAACATGCTCTGTGTCTCAACAAATGGCACAACTACCACCCACCTGCTCATGCCAGCAACTTGAATGTTACAGGTGATACTTCACTTTCCCTTATTCTACTTGGGGGAGACACACTCTAAATAGCATCCCCACAATGAGGCATGCCTTTGTAGAATCCTCTCCCCTTGAGGCAGAACCTGTGACCTGCTTCTAATCAATAGAAGATAGCCTAGGTGGGCTGGGAGTGGTGGCTCATGCTTATAATCCCAGCACTTTGGGAGGCCGAGGTGGGTGGATCACTTGAGGTCAGGAGTTCTAGACCAGCCTGACCAACATAGTGAACCCCCATCTCTACTAAAAATACAAAAATTAGCCAGCTGTCATGGCATACACCTGTAATCCCAGCTACTTGGGATATATAGCCAAGGTGATAGATGTTAGAATCTTGTTTAGGATATGTTATATGGCAATAGTGACTGGATGGCATTCCTGTGATTACGTTATGTTATATAATACTCCATCTTAGCTGGCTCGAGAGAGACTCCCTTGCTGGCTTTAACAAATTAAGCTATCGAAGAGTAATGTTACAGAGCAGAGACAGTGAGGAGGCTGCGTCTGGCTCCCGCTCTCACAGCCATTGCAGTACATTGAGCTCCATAGAGACCGCGCCAGGGCAAGTGAGAGCCAGAGGGGCACTGGGTGACTCTGTGCCTCACTGAGGAAAAATAAGTAAACATGGGCAAAGGAGATCCTAAGAAGCTGAGAGACAAAATGTCAGCACATGCATTTTTTGTGCAAACTTGTTGGAAGGAGCATAAGAAGCAGCACCCAGCTGCTTCAGTCAACTTCTCAGAGTTTTCTCAGAAGTGCCTAGAGAGGTGGAAGACCATGACTGCTAAAGAGAAAGGAAAATTTGAAGATATGCCAAAAGCGGACAAGGCCCATTATGAAAGAGAAATGAAAACCTATATCCCTCCTAAACGGGAGACAAAAAAGTTCAGCCGGGCTCGGTGGCTCACACCTGTAATTCCAGGACTTTGGTACGCCGAGGCCGGTGGATCACGAGGTCAGGAATCCAAGACTACCTGGCCAAGATGCTGAAACTGCCTTTCTACTAAAACTACAAAAATTAGCCAGGCGCAGTGGCAGGCACCTGTAATCCCAGCCACCCAGTAGGCTGAGGCAGGAAAACCACTAGAACCCAAGTGGCAGAGGTTGCAGTGAGCAGAGATAGTGCCACTGCACTCTAGCCTGGGCGACAGCATGAGACTCCGTCTCAAAAAAAAAAAAAAGAAGTTCAAGGATCCCAATGCACCCAAGAGGCCTCCTTCAGCCTTTTTCCTGTTCTGTTCTGAGTATCGCCCAAAAATCAAAGGAGAACATCCTGGCCTGTCCATTGGTGATGTTGGAAAGAAACCGGGAGAGATGTGGAATGACACTGCTGCAGATGACACGCACCCTTATGAAAAGAACGCTGCGAAGCTGAAGGAAAAATATGAAAAGGATATTGCGCATATCAAGCTAAAGGAAAGCCCGATGCAGCAAAAAAAGGGAAGTGTCAAGGCTGAAAAGGCAAGAAAATAGAAGGAAGAGGAGGAAGATGAGGAAGATGAAGAGGATAATGAGGAGGAGAAAGATGAAGATGAAGATGAAGAAGATGATGATGAATAAGTTGCTTCTGGCACAGTTTTTTTTCTTGTCTATAAAGCATTTAACCCCCCTGCAAAAAAACTCACTCCTTTTAAAGAAAAAAATTGAAATTTAAGGCTGTGTAAGATTTGTTTTTAAACTGCACAGTGTCTTCTTTTTTTGTATAGCTAACACACTGCCAAATGTGTCTTTAGATAGCCCTCTCCTGGTGGTATTTTCAGTAGCCACTAACCTTGCCTGGTACAGTATGGGGGTTGTAAATTGGCATGGAAATTTAAAGCAGGTTCTTGTTGGTCCACAGCACAAATTAGTTATATACAGGGATGGTAGTTTTTTCATCTTCAGTTGTCTCTGATGCAGCTTATACAAAATAATTGTTCTGTTAACTGAATACCACTTTGTAATTGCAAAAAATAAAAAGTTGCAGCTGTTTTGTTGACATTCTGAATGCTTCTAAGTAAGTACAATTCTTTTATTAGGGAAAAAAAAAAAAAAGAAGCTATCATGTTTATCAAGGAACTGTGGTTGGCCTCTGAGAGCCAGAAAGAAAATGGGGACCTCAGTGCTACAACTGCAAGGAGATGAATTTGCCAACAACCTGAGGAAGCTTGCAAATTGGCCTTTCCCTGGTTGAGCCGCTGATGAAATTATAGCCCATGTCAATACTTGGTCTGAAGTCTGGTGAGTCCCTGAGCAGAGGACCCAGTTAAGTTGTGCCTAGACTCTTGACCCATGGAAACCGTAAGATAATAAATGGGTGTTGTTTGGGGCTGCTAAGTTCATGGTAATTTGTTACTCAGCATAGAAAACTAGTGGAGCACCTGTCCATCACCAGAACTTTTTGATTTTTTTCACTGAAATAATTCTCAAAAACTCCGCTTTTCTCCATCTCCACTACTCCACCCAGAGTAAACTGCCATCACTTCCTATCCAAATAGAGTATCTTTTGGCCTGGCACAGTGGCTCACACCTATAATCCCAGCACTTTGGGAGGCTGAGGCGGGAGGACTGCTTGAGCCCAGGAGTTTGAGATCAGCCTGGGCAACATGGCGAGACCCTGTCTGTATTAAAAATCAAAAAAATTAGTCAGGCATGGTAGTGTGGACCTGTAGTCCCAGCTACTAGGCAGGCTGAGGCTGGAGGATTGCTTGAGCCTGAGAGATCAAGCCTGCAGTGAGCTATGATTGCGCCACTGCACTCCAGCCTGAGTAACAGGGCAAGACCCTGTCTCAAAAGTAAATAAATAAATAAATAAATAAATTTTTAAAAATATCGCCTTAATCTCCACTGTCACATTTGCTCCTCCTATCTTAACCGGACCAAGCCACGAGAGCACCCCAGGCAAGATAATAATTTCACATTTCTTCAACTCAACATTTTTTCAGTAGAGATGAGGAGAAATTGTCTACTGATAAAAGTGATGTATCTTTTTTTTTTTTTTTTTTTGAGACAGAATCTCGCTCTGTCACCCAGGCTGGAGTGCAATGGCCTGATCTAGGCTCACTGCACCTCCACCTCCCAGGTTCAAGCGATTCTCCTGCCTCAGCCTCATGAGTAACTGGGACTACAGGCGTGTGCCACCACACCCAGCTAATATTTTGTATTTTTAGTAGAGACGGGGTTTCACCGTGTTAGCCAGGATGGTCTCTATCTCCTGACCTCGTGATCCACCCACCTCAGCCTCCCAAAGTGCTGGGATTACAGGCATGAGCCACCACACCCAGCTGCATCTCTTTTTATGCCAAAACGAGAGGTTCAATATATGTGATTTTCCAAAGCAGGTAACTCCTTGGGAGGCCCATTAAACCACTTAAAATTTAAACAACAGGCTGGGCACAGTGGATCACACCTGTAATCCCAGCACTTTGGGAGGCTGAGGTGGGAGGATCACTTAAGCCCAGGAGTTCAAGACCAGCCTGGGCAACATAGTGAGAACCCATCTCTACTAATTAAAAAAAATTTTTTTAATCACTCATTTTCTGTAAATAGCGCAACCTATTGTATTACGTAGGTTCAGACTTTCAGCTTAATGTACTTAATGGCAGTTCTTGGCTGACTCGTATCACATTTGGAGGAACAGTTGGTACAAATGTATCACAAGTTTTTAAGAAAGAACAATTTGACTGGGCACGGTGGTTCATGCCTATAATCCCAACACTTTGGGAGGCTGAGGCAGGTGGATCACCTGAGGTCAGGAGTTCGTGACCAGCCTGGCCAACATGGCAAAACCCTGTCTTTACTAAAAATACAAAAATTAGCATGGCATGGTGGCACACACCTATAGTCCCAGCTACTCGGAAGACTGAGGCAGGAGAATCACTTGAACTCGGGAGGCAGAGGTGTCGGTGAGCCGAGATAGCACCACTGCACTCCAGCCTGGGCAACAGAGTGAGACTCTGTCTCAAGGAAAAAAAAAAAAAGAAAGAAAGAAAGAGCAAGTTATCTTTTTCTTTCTCTGTTGCTCAAGATTTGAATGCCAAATCTGAAGTCATGAAGATTTACCTCATGTTTTCTTCTAATAGTTTTATCATTTACATTTATGTTGTTGATCCAGTTTGAATTAGTTTTTGCATGTGGAATGAGGCAAGGGTATGAATTCATGTTTTCTTTTGCATGTGGTTATCCCGTTGTCCCACCAGAATCTGTTAAAGAGACTCTTCTTTCCTCCCATTAAATGGTACCCTGGTCAAAAATCAATTGACCATAGACGTTTGGTTTTATTGCTAAACTCTCAATTCTATTTTATTGGTCTATATGTGTCTGTCTTTATACAAGTACCACACTTCAGCCTGGGCAATATAGTGAGACCTCAAGTCTCAAAAAAAAAAAAAAAAAAAAAATTTTTTTTTTTAATTAGCCAAATGTGGCAGTGGGCACCTATAGTCCCATCTACTTGGGAGGCTGAGATGGGAAAATCACTTGAGTTCAGGGCCCAGGGGCTACAGTGAGCCAAAATTGTGCCACTGCACTCCAGCCTAGATGACAGAGTTAGGCCCAGTCTCAAAAACACCTTCCTGGGCAGCCTGGATGGTAGAGCCAGACTCCGTCTCAAAAAAAAAAAAAAAACAACAACAAAAAAACCACCTTCCTGGGAAATTTGGAAATCAGGAAGTGTGAGTCTTCCCATTTTCTTTTTCTTTTTTAATATTGTTTTGGCTATTCAGAGGTCCCTGCAGTTTTTTGGGTTTTGGTTTTTGGTGTTTTTTTTTTTTTCTTTTTGAGACGGAGTCTTGCTCTGTTGCCCAAGCTGGAGTGCAGTGGCGTGATCTCAGCTCACTGCAGTCTCTGCTTCCCGGGTTCAAGCAATTCTCCTGCCTCAGCCTCCCAAGTAGCTGGGACTACAGGTGCACACCGCCATGCCTGACTAATATTTGTATTTTTAGTAGAGACGGGGTTTCACCATGTTGGCCAGGATGGTCTTGATCTCCTGACCTCGTGATCCACCCACCTCAGTCTACCAAAGTGCTGGGATTACAGGCAAGAGCCACCGCACCTAGCCGGTCCCTGCAGTTTTACAGGAACTTGAGGATAAGTTTCAGTTTCTCCAAAAAAAGGACCATTGGAATTTTGATAGGGATTACACTGAATCTGTAGATTGCTTTGGGGAATATTGCCATCTTAACAATATTAACACTCCCAACACATGAACATGGGATGTCTTTGCATTCATTTAGGTCTTCCTTAGTTTCTTCCATCAATGTTTTTAGTTTTTGGTGTACAAGTCTTTCACCTCCTCAGTTATATTTATTCCAAGGTAATTTGTTCTCTCAGATGCTACTCTAAATTGAATTGTTTTCGTAATTTCCTTTTCAGATTGTTCGCTGCTAGCATAAAGAAATAGAACTGATGTTTGTGTGTTGGCCTTGCAGCAACTTTGCTGAATTCCTTTACCAGCTGTAGTAGGTTTCTGAGGTTCTATGGGATTTTCTATAAAGAGAGCCATGTCTTCTAAAAATCGTGGTGGTTTTACTTCTTATTTTGCTATTTGGAGGCCTTTTATTTATGTTTCTTGCCTAATTGCTGTGTCTAGGATTTCCAGTATAATGTTGAATAGCACAGATGACAACAGACATCTTTGTCTTGTTCCTGATTCTAGAAACTTTAAGCTTTTAGTCTTTTACCATTGAGAATAATGTGTTGTGGAGTTTTTTTCGTAAATGTCCTTTATCATGTAAAGGAAGTTCCCTTTTATCTTAACCCATTCTGCTGCTATCACAGAATACATTAGAGTGATTAATTTACAAATAATAGAAATGTATTTCTGCCAGGCACAATGGCTCATCCCTATAATACCAACAGTTTGGGAGGCCAAAGTGGGAAGACTGTTTGAGGCCAGGAGTTCAAGACCAGCTCAGGTAACATAGTGAGGCCTTATCTCTGTTAAACATTTAAAAATTAGCTAGGCATGATGGCAGGCACCTATAGTCCCAGCTACTTGGGAAGCTGAAGTGGGAGGACTGATCGAACCAAGGAGTTTGAGGCTGCAGTGAACCAGAATCTTGCCACTGCACTCCACCCTGGGCAACAGAGCGAGACCCTGTCTCCTTGCCACCAAAAAGAAGAAAGAAATTTACTTCTCACAGTTCTGGAGGCTGGGAAGTCCAAGACCAAAATGCCAGAAGATTTGGTGTTTGGTGAGGGCCTATTCCATAGATAGCATTTTCTTGAGGCATCCTCACAGTAAGCAGGAAAAGGTAGAAGGGCAAAAGGAGATCAACATGGTGTCCTCATACAGCAGAAGAGATTGAAGGGGAAAGGGGAGCCAGTTAGTTCTCTCAAGCCCTTTTATGAGGGCACTAATAACCTCCTTCAGGCCCCACATCTTAATTCTATTGCACTGGGGTTGAGTTTCAACACATGAATTTTGGAGGAATACACACATTCAAATCACAGCACCCACTATTTCTAGTGTTCTGAGTTTTTATCATGAAAAG